GCCCCCAGTACAGAGTCTTCCCCACTGCCCCCCTCCCCTTCCTACCTGTTGATTCTGATGTCCGGCGTAATGCGCGCAGCCGACTACTTCCCGCACATTCCCCCCTCCCGCCTGCCCAACCAAACGGACTGAGAACGATCGCCCCAGCAGCCACCACGGCAATCGCGCTACACGCGTCCCAATGTATACCAATCCTTCCTTTGTTTGTATGCTCTGTTAGTAAGAGAGAGAGTAAATATGAACTCGGGAGGAAATACTAAGTTGATTGCTATCCATCGCCTTCGGAGCTGTCGTGTTGCTCGTGCGCGTGCTCCCCCTGCGCGTCTCTCTTCCGCCTGACGACCCCCACGAACCTTACCGCGCCGTCTCCCCGCGCTTCACGCGCTCTTTTGCTCTTCGTTCACGGTTCTCGTTTGCCCGATGAACCGCCTGCTCTCCTCCTCCCCTCCTCCTTCCGCGCTTCAGGTATGCACGCGACGACAGCCTTTCTCTTTCCTCTGCTGCGTCATTCATCACCGATGGCATGCCAATCGATCATGCTCATGTTCATTTTCCGAATGGGGATCCTGCTGCTAGCGCGTGCGCGTGCGCGCTCACGTTCGGTTTCCCCCCCCCTTCCTACTACTGATTCCTCCACACCCAACGGCGGGAACAGCAACAGGCAACTAGCTAGCATGGCACTTCTGTGTGTCTGTGTGTGTGTGTGTGTGTGTGTGTGCCGTGTGTGTCTGGAGAGAGAGAGAGAGAGTAGGACAAACAGAAGGGAGAGCGGGACAGAGACAGGAAAGGGAGTCGAGAATCGACTGCTCTTCCTAGAAAACGACGGACAAAAGAGGGAGGGAAACGCGCGCGAGAGAGAGAGAGAGAGAGTTCTACCGCTCGATCCGTTTCAGCAAAGCCGCTCAGCAGGCGTGCGTGAGATTCTGCAGCGCAGCGGCAGCAGCCTATTGGCACACACAACAGGTGAGTTTTCTGACACACGGCGGGGGGCATCCGCGCTGGAAAAACGGCACCGCAAGCGCAAAAGGATGGCCCGCGCAAGGAATCGGCAGGGGAGCGGCCAGTCGGCGGGCCGACAAATAGTTGGAATCAATCGGAGCGCGAGCAATCCGATCCGATCCGTTCGCTCGGAGTCACCCACCACTCCCGCGAGCTCGCACTCCCGCCCCTGACCCCGCCCCCGCTCCGTCCCCGCCCTGTCTCTTATACACATCTAGATGTGTATAAGAGACCTCCTCCACCCTGTCGCTCAGCTGCAGGCTGCTG